GGAGTTTAGGACTGTTGTACATAGGGTCGCTATGAGTCGCAGGCGTCTCGAGGGCACATAACAACAACAACAACACTCCCACCTCTTAGTCCACTTTGCAATCTCCTCTTATTCTGAACTCTTGTCATACAAATAATGCCTACTTCCTTTTAAACAGTTCTTTCATTCATCTGTTCCAATGCAGTGTTCATTATTGATCTTCTCTTTTCCTAGTTTCTCTCCAGCCCTCCATGTCAGTCCTGCTTAAGACAGTGGTGTTATGTAGTATTTGTCCTTTTGTGACTGAGGTATTTCACTCAGTATAATGTTATCTATGTTGAACAATGTTTTATGAGTTTCTTGTTTTCTAGTGCTGCATAATACAAGATCATTTTATTTGTGGGGTTTCTCCGAGAACGTAAAGATATTATATATCTGAAAATACTTTGATACTAGTAAAACTTTATGCAAATTAAATACTTTTCATCCAGTAAGAAGACATATCACATAACCAAAACTGATTTTTGTGTTCTTCAGTAAAGTTTCTTTAAAGGCCTATGAAAATTTATTAAATTTGAGACAGAATTTAATCTCTCAACAAGTTTTCTTACATTAAAGGTCTCTTTATGTCTATAAAACAAAGTGTCATAAACTAGTTTGTTACATTTAAACAAAAAATTGATACTTTTTCTTAATGATATAACTTACAAAATTTTCATTTTTGGAAAGAAAATTACCTATCACAGGTAATGTATTGATTTATGGGTATTAGGGACCCTGAGGATGATTTTTTTTTAAAAAATAAGTAAGCAGTTCCTGAAGCTGTAATATTAGCATTCTCTAGCCTGGTAACATTTAAAGTTTAATGAGACTACTGTAAGAGAAAATACGGTAATCTAGATTTCAGTTTGCCAAAGATATAACCATGCTCTTATAGTTATGCTTATCCTTATGAGATAATATTATAAAAATATCTCTAGTGGTGTGCTGCATTAAGTGTTAGGTAGATGACCAAAAAGTTGATATTTGGAATAAATCAGTTTCTCTCTGCAAAAATGATGGAGAGCCTCCTCGGGTTAAGATTCATAGCCTCAGACATCTGAAGGAGAGTCATAATGATTTGCAGTCAACTCCATGGCAATGCTGTTGTGTGCCACTGAGTCAGAACTGACTCATAACTGACCCTCCAGCAGTTTTCAGAGGCAGTAAATTGCACAAGAGAAGAATGCCCATTTTTCTTCTCTGGAGAAGCTGACAGATTCAAACTGATGATACCTTTTTCATTAGCATCACAGCTCCCCAGTCACCAGAGTTTCTTTCGGTGAAAATGAGTATTTCCTTTTCCTGTTTATTTAATAGTCTTAAGGGGAAAAAAACCCCCTACTCTCTAGTTGCCTTTTGTCCACCCTAATATGATTTACACTGTCATATAATCTGACAAAGCAAGAACTGTTATTTACAGTAATGGTAATCAGATGTTGTTGTTCTTATGTGCCGTCGAGTCGCTTGCGACTCATAGCGACCATATGTACAACAGCCCTAAACTCCGCTCTGTCCTGTGCCAATCGCACTGTCTCTGACACTCCCAACCCAATTATCCCAGTCACTGAATCA